TTATCTTTTGGTGAAACATGACCAAAGTATTAAGGGAGTTTATTTACTATTCAAGAGTCGATTGGTTAAAGGTCACTTACTATGATGACCTGACTCGTATAGTGCCAGGGTCATGACCTAAATGACTGACCTGAAAACTGAAGAATTAGATGAACGGGAGGTCAGACAGACAGATAGAGTGGGACGGGGAATGAAAGGAATGCAGAGGCAGGGAGGATACAGGGAGATAGTTAACATAGGGTGAAGGGTGAAAGGGTCGGAGGCAGGGAGGCAGAAACAAGGCAAGTCGTGCAGAGAGACAGACAGACAGACCATTGTAAATGACGGATGATAGAACTGGTGGCGCGGTATAAAAACGAAGAATAACATGAGGTATATCCACCCTAGATTATTTCACCCTGGAGGTTAACTACCCTAACGCTATTTAGGGGGATGAGGTGAGGTTAGGTTAGGTTAGGATAGGCTTGGCTAGGTTAGGTTAGCGTTACGTTAGGATAGACTAGGTTAGGACAGGCTAGGTTAGGTTAGGTTAGGTTCGGTTAGGACAGGCTAGGTTAGGTTAGGTTAGGTTCGGTTAGGACTGGCTAGGTTAGGTTAGCGTTACGTTTGGATAGACTAGGTTAGGTTAGGACAGGCTAGGTTAGGTTCGGTTAGCTTCGGTTAGGACAGGCTAGGTTAGGTTAGGTTAGGTTCGGTTAGGACTGGCTAGGTTAGGTTAGCTTTACGTTAGGATAGACTAGGTTAGGTTAGGACAGGCTAGGTTAGGTTAGCGTTAAGGTCGTTAATCTTTAGGTGAAATAAGCTAACCATACATAAAAACAAAATATATTAAATAAATTACGAAATAAATAATGAACCTCAACATAAACTTCATTATAATTTAAAAAATATATATATATGAATAATCTCGGCCATAATTTCTTCACCACCTGACAGTAAATGAACAATGAAAGTAAAATATCACCTAAGGCGTTATAATGCGGCTCAAGGTACATTCACTTGACTACTGGTAACAATGTGTCATGTGTGGATCTGAGACAACTGGGGAATGTCTTTAATTCTGTGTAATAACGACAATAATAACAATAACATCAGCAACAATGATGGCAATAACATCGACAACAACAACAGCAATAATAACAATAACATCAGCAACAACAACAACAACAATAATAATGATAACAATAATAATAATAATAAATCACATCAACACTCAAAGACACACAAAAAAAAAATCCTTCCTCCAAAAATTATCTCCACCCAAGTGATAAATTAAAACCTCCTGAAGCGTAAATAATAACAATGACAAAGCTAATGATGATAATAAACGTGAACTATGATGGTAACTTATTCTCAGACAAGGAGAAATGACACGTTGTTTAGGGAGGTAATTGGGGACAGGTGGGCTTGGTTCTTAGTGGGGAATGTGATCTAAAGTGATGGTTCTCTCTCTTTCTCTTACTTACCCCTTCTCTCTTCTCTCTCTCTCTCTCTCACTTACCACCCCCCTTCTCTCTCTCTTCCCCCTTACTTAACCCCCCTCTCTCTCCTTCTCTCCCCCTCTCTCTCCTTCTCTCCCCCCTCTCTCTCTCTACCTTTCTCCCCCTCTCTCTCTCTCTCTCTACCCTTCTCCCTCCGTCTCTCTCTCTCTCTCTCTCTCTGTCGTCTCCCTTGTCTCCACCTGCCCTTCACTCCCACTGATTCACAATGCCAGACGGGTCAAATTTTACGACCCAAGGAACGCACGACTTGTAAAGCTCCTCCTGCGGGGTCAAAGGATGTAAGACTGCCTTGAACGACTGCAGGATGGACGTAGGTGAAGGATCTTACGTGGGATGTGTAGTAGGACTTCATTTCGAGGGTAGGAGGCGCGTAGATGAAGGATGTGATGAAGGGATGTGTTATAGGACTTAATTTGCAGGATTGGATACCATTAAATGACTGAAGGAAGAAGGTAGAATGTGCTGTAGGATTACTAGAGGCATTTCAACAAACTGTAGAGGGATTAAGGTAAAGGGATCTGTCTTCTTATCGGTCGTGGGACTTTACCCATAGGACTAGAGGACTCCAGCGTGAAATATCCTGCAAATTACTAAGAACGAGTTATCAGATTTCCCCAGTAGGTTGAGAGAGGATCCTTTAACACCTAACTGTAGAAGGAGGTAAACAAACACCTAGCGGAACACCACGTATTAGGGTCTCGACTTCAACACCTGCAGAAGAACCCAAATGACAGGTGACTGGAGAGGCCAATCATTATAACACGGCTCCTCTACGGCTCCTTATTCCTTAACTGTTGCCTCATCCCTTTGGTACCAGGATTTCAGGAAGGAGGTGCTACAGCCTTTCTCTTATAACATCAGGTGTGGTAGGATGTCTGAGTAGCCTGAAGGAGGACTCAGGATATGTTGTAGGGGAAGTGGTTGAAGGATATCACAGAGACCTCACCAACAGGATCGTAAAGCCTTGGACAATATTACAAAAAACATGAGGATTAAATCTCTGAGTTAGGATGTGGTAGGATGTGTTGCAAGACTTCCACCAAATACAAGGCGCTGCAGGATGCCTTGTATTAACAGACAGAAAGTCCTCAGGTGAAAGTCCTCCTGGGTCATGCTAGGATCAGTTATTATTACCTTCATCCTCTCTCGGTCATCCTGTCTCTGTCTGTCTGTCTTTGTGTCGATTTTTTGTCGCACGTCTGACGGATCACCTGATGATTAGACACACTCAACTTATTAAATAACCTAACGTTACCTGGGGATTAGGTTAAGTTAAGTTAGCATTAGGGTTTGCAATCATCAGGTGAAATAAGCTAGGGTGTCTAATCATCAGGTGAGATAAGCTAGGGTGTCTAATCATCAGGTGAGATAAGCTAGGGTGTCTAATCATCAGGTGAGTCTCCCTGAACACCTGAGTGAAAGTCTTGGACGGCTGTTGTTAAAATCATCATTTATTATTGTCTAGTTCCTATGTACGATATTCTCCAACGTTCTCTCTCTCTCTCTGTTTCTCCCTATCTCTCCCTCCCTTTCTCTCTATCCTCCTTTCTCTCTCTATCCCCCCTCTCTTTCTCTCTCTCTATGTCTCCCTCCCTTTCTCTCTGTCCTCCTTCTCCTCTTCCCTCTCTTTATCCCCCACCCCCCTTTCTCTCTCTATTCTCCTCCTCCCCTCTTTCTCTCTCTATCCTCCCTCTCTTTCTCCACCCCTCTTTCTCTCTCTATCCTCCCTCTCCCCCTCACCACCACCTCCTCCATCAAACCACCAAAGCCCCATTGTATACCTGCGAGGGGAGGAGGGGGGGGTCAGGTTTGCTCACCGGCGCCCTGCAGAGACTTGACCGGGAGAGAGGCGCTTGGAGACCTCAACACCTTCGTCGTTGCTGTGTCTGTTGATTTACAGTTTACGGTCTTGGTTAGGTTAGGTTAGGGTTAGGTTAGGTTAGGTTAGGGTTAGGTTAGATTAGGTTAGATTTGTTTGGGATTAGATTAGGCTAGATTACATTAGGTTCGTTTGGGATTAGGTTAGGTTAGGGTTAGGTTAGGTTAGGTTTAGATTTGGTTAGATTTGTTTGGGATTAGATTAGGTTCGTTTGGGTTAGGTTAGGTTTAGGTTAGGTTAGGTTAGGTTAATGTTAAGGTGAAATAATCTTGTGGGAGGACTAACCTTCAGGTGATTTTGGGTGGAGGTCTCGGGTAATGTTACACAACCGACGCCTTTATCCTCTGCGTTAACATGGCTGAAATCTTCCCCTGGTGATTATCTCTCTCTCTCTCTCTCTCTCTCTCTCTCTCTCTCTCTCTCTGTGTCACTCACTCCACCTCTTTCTCTCTCTGTCTTTCCTCACACTTTCTCTCTCTCTCTCTCTGTCTGTCTTTCCTCACCTCTCTCTCTCTCTCTCTCTCTTCTGTCTGTCACTCCTCTCTCTCTCTCTCTCTCTCTCTCTCTCTCTCTGTCACACACTCTCTCTCTCTCTGTCACACACACTCTCTCTCTCTCTCTCTCTCTCTCTCTCTCTCTCTCTCTCTTGTTGTCTATTTTTTCGTTGTCTCTCTATCTCTCTCTTTCGTTTCTTTTCTCTTTCATTCTCTCACTCTCTTTCTCCTTCATGATAAACAAGAATCACGAAAAACAACGAAAACAGCGAAAACAAAACAAACAATTAACAGGATTTACGAGAAAACAGAAAAACAACGAAAACAGCGAAGACAAATGAGCGAAAAAAAACACACGATAAACCAAAACAAAACCCACTAAAACAGCGAAAAACAAAAACAAAATAATAAACCTAAGGAAATTCTTTGACGTCACATCTGTACCTCACCGACCTGTGAGTACAAGAACTATTATGACCACATCTTAGTTTCACTGGAGGTCAGAGGTCAACACGACGAATTAAGGGGGAGGGGATGGGGGGGTATACTGACCTATTATTATCTTCTCTTTGTACATATTTCTTTGTTTCTCTCTCTCTCCCCCTACCTCCCTAACCCCCACCCAGTCCCTCACCTCTCTCCCCGCCCTGACCTCCCCCACCACTCTTGCCTCACCCATCGTGGACCCCAGGTAAGGTAACTATGTGAGTGGCTCTTAGCGTAACACACGATGCCTTCACTAACTCGTAAAGGCCGTCGGTGTTGTTTATCGCTGTGATGCTGTGAGTAGACAGACAGACAGACAGACAGACAGACAGATAGATAGACAGACAGAGACGGAGAAGTTGATTGATGGATGGACGTACATATGTGTGTGTGTATTTGTGTTCATGTGTGCGTGTGTATGTATGTATGTTTGTATGCATGTATGTATGTATGTATGTGTGTATGTATTAGTGTAATTGCTTTGTCACTCGGTTAAAGACCTTAGTTGTCGTTGAAGCGGAGTAATAACATCATAACATCAACATAGAATTAGTTTGTCGAGATGCATTATAATAACAACTACGTTTATTGGTTTGTGATATAAAAAAAAAACTAAGTGAAATGACTACAATAACTTACCTTAACTAGACTGTGCAGAATTCTTGAGACCTAAATATCGGCAACACAGACTTAGAATAATATCACGTTACCGATGAATAATTTGAAAATAATTCGATCAGTTTTTGTTTCGAGTTTACACAAATCAGAAAGATACTCTAATAATTATCATATCTATCTGTAATAAAAATGTTCAATATCTCTATCAACCAGTAGTGATTTAGTGATAATATATTACTGAGATATTAAATAAATTCTAAGATCTTCTGTGTAGTGAAGAGATAAAACACGTGGGTCGGAAGTGGGATGAGAGCGCGTATGGCTTCAACCTCACTGGACGGCTGCCGGGCCAATACTGACTCTAGCTCTGATTGTCATGACCGAGTCTGAGTCACTGAGTAAGCTTGGAGAGTGTGGGGAGGAGGGAGGGTGGCGGGAACAGCAGCAACAACAACACCAGCTGATGGGGAGGGTGGGGGATGAGAGGGGTGGTGAGATGACTCTCTGTGTTGCTGTGATAACGGGGGGAGTGGGAGGGGTGGGAGGGGGTGGTGGGGAGGTGTGAACTTTACCTGAATTCACCCTCTCCTCGTCCTCCATTCCTCCTCCTCCTCCTCCTTTCTCCTTCTCCTTCTCCACCCATTCATCCTCCGACCACACCCACTCATTCTCCGACCCCACCCATACACCCCACCTCCACCCACCACCCACCCCACCTCCATCCACCCACCCCTTCTCAGTTCCCCGAGTCCAAATAAGACTTTACCTGTACCGTAATGTTTTGTTGACTGTAAATGAGACTAATTTACAATCTTTTACACCCTGATGTCAGATATTTACTTTGCTTCTCTTCTCTCTCAGATGGACAAGGTTAGGTTAGGTCAAGTTGGGTTCGGTTGGGTTGGGTTCGGCTGGGTTCGGTTGGGTTCGGTTGGGTTGGGTTCGAGGTTGGGTTAGGTTCAGTTAGATTGGGATTTCGGATTGGGTTAGGTTGGAGTTCGGTTGAGTTGGGTTCGGTTGGTTCGGTTGGGTTGGGTTGGGTTGGGTTGTTGCCCTCATAATTAAATATTTACGTACATATAACAATACGCAGTTTCCTACACTTCACACGGCATCTGTAGACGACATGAAGGAACAGATGGGTGGGTCAGGTGTGCTGTCAGGTGTGCGGGAAGGTGTGCGGGCAGGTGTACACAATTAACACCTTTCTCTCCATGTCTTCTCCTTAACACCGTCTATGATAACGCTGATGATCTCTCCTTTCACTTATGTTGATTTACGAAGAATGTTTGTGTCGTGAGATTATTATTTTTTTTTGAGAAAGTGAAAGGAAATAATGACGTTTTAAAGATATTATTATAATTTTGAGAGAGAGACCCACACCCACACCCACACACACCCACACCCACACCACAATAACATCTCTTACCACAGTTTGTCTTAATTACCCTCATACCTGGGATGCTGCTGCCACTACCTGTAATATGTACTGTAGAAGGTCTATAATTCACCTGATGTATTGCCTAATTATACCAGATTATCTCCCAGAGTCCCAGGTGACGCTATTGTGTCATTATGTTACGGGGTCATTGTATCTGTTGGTGTGTGACGTTAATGAGTTGTGTTTGTAGGTGTGTGAGGTTAATGAGTTGTGTTTGGTAGGTGTGTGACGTTTGAGTTGTGTTTGGTAGGTGTGTGACGTCAATGAGCTGTGTTTGTAGTGTGTGTGAGGTTAATGAGCTGTGTTTGTAGGTGTGTGAGGATAATGGCTGTGTTTGCAGGTGTGTGGTTAATGAGCTGTGTTTGTAGGTGTGTGAGGATAATGAGCTGTGTTTGCAGGTGTGTGACGTTAATGAGCTGTGTTTGTAGGTGTGTGTGACGTTAATGAGCTGTGTTTGTAGGTGTGTGAGGTTAATGAGCTGTGTTTGTAGGTGTGTGACGTTAATGAGCTGTGTTTGTAGGTGTGTGACGTTAATGAGCTGTGTTTGTAGGTGTGTGTGAGGTTAATGAGCTGTGTTTGTAGGTGTGTGAGGTTAATGAGCTGTGTTTTGTAGGTGTGTGAGGTTAATGAGCTGTGTTTGTAGGTTTGTGAGGTTAATGAGCTGTGTTTGCAGGTGTGTGAGGTTAATGAGCTGTGTTTGTAGGTGTGTGACGTTAATGAGCTGTGTTTGCAGGTGTGTGAGGTTAATGAGCTGTGTTTGTAGGTGTGTGACGTTCATGAGCTGTGTTTGTAGGTGTGTGAGGATAATGAGCTGTGTTTGTAGGTGTGTGAGGATAATGAGCTGTGTTTGTAGGTGTGTGAGGATAATGAGCTGTGTTTGTAGGTGTGTGAGGTTAATGAGCTGTGTTTGCAGGTGTGTGACGTTAATGAGCTGTGTTTGCAGGTGTGTGAGGTTAATGAGCTGTGTTTGTAGGTGTGTGACGTTAATGAGCTGTGTTTGTAGGTGTGTGACGTTAATGAGCTGTGTTTGCAGGGTGTGTGACGTTAATAAGCTGTGTTTCTAGGTGTGTGAGGTTAATGAGCAGTGTTTGTAGGTGTGTGACGTTAATGAGCTGTGTTTGTAGGTGTGTGACGTTAATGAGCTGTGTTTGCAGGGTGTGTGTGAGGTTAATGAGCTGTGTTTGTAGGTGTGTGACGTTAATGAGCTGTTTGCAGGTGTGTGGGGTTAATGAGCTGTGTTTGTAGGTGTGTGACGTTAATGAGCTGTGTTTGTAGGTGTGTGACGTTAATGAGCTGTGTTTGCAGGGTGTGTGACGTTAATGAGCTGTGTTTCTAGGTGTGTGAGGTTAATGAGCTGTGTTTGTAGGTGTGTGAGGTTAATGAGCTGTGTTGTTTTAGGCATTTAGTTTGTGCTAAAAAATATACCTGTTTCATCTTAGCCTTTTTGTGTTATGTAACGTCAGAGCAGTACATACATACATACATACATACATACATACACATACATACATACATACACATACATACATGCATACATACACATACATACATACACATACATACATACACATATACATACATACATACATACATACAAATTCACCCCCCAAAAAATGTTTATCTGACCAATATATAAAAAATCTAACAATATAAAACAACATGAAGAAAAATCATCATACACACTGCACACAAACCACAACAACAGGTGACTTAATTACTGTTGTCTACACCTGCATGACGCTCTCTTTGTCGTGGCTTTCTCTCTGTCAGTAACCGAGGCACAGACTATCAACAGAAGGTGTAAACAGGTGACAGTTTAACCGTAATGAAACACTGTCTGTCTGTCTCTCTTAATGTATGTGTGTGTGTGTGTGTGTGTGTGTGTATGTATGTATGTATGTATGTATGTATGTATGTATATGTGTGTGTGTGTGTGTGTGTGTGTGTGTAAGGGATCTTTAAGTGTATGTATGAGAGTGTATATTTGAGTGTATGTATGAGTATATATCAAAGTGTATGAGTGTAAGTTTAACCATTGTATTAAGGTATATGTATATGGATAAATATACAATATACATATAAACATACATAAACAAACACGTACGTAATTCATACACACCAGGTCATCTCACCACAGTAATATACCTAGTTGATGTAAAAATAGAGTCTGTGGTTAGCTAAGATACACCCATTTGTCCTTGTTCTGACACACACACACACACACACACACACACACACACACACAGGTATAAGCTAATGTCTTGAAGGAGAGTTGGGAAAGTCATCTTGTTTGGCATTGATTTCAGGAGGAGAAAACTGAAAGTGATATGAAGTATTTTGTGGTGTGTGTGTGTGTGTGTGTGTGTGAGGGGGTGTGTGTGTGTGTGTGTGTGAGTGTGTGTGTGTGTGTGAGTGTGTGTGTGTGTGTGTGTGTGGGTGTGTGTGTGTGGTGTTTGTGTGTGTGTGTGTGTGTGTGTGTGTGTGTGTGTGTGTGTGTGTGGTGTGTGGTGTGTGTGTGTGTGTGTGTGTGTGGTGTGTGTGTGTGAGTGTTTGTGTGTGTGTGTGTGTGTGTGTGTGTGTGTGTGTGTGTGGGAATGTGTGTGTGTATCGCCAAATTACTAATTATTACACGTTATTACACATTCTTTTCAGATAAAAAAGTCTGGAAAGTTGCATAAAAAATTTAAAAAATGTTACCATGCAATAGATGAAAGTCAGATGTGGCGACTTGAACATTAAGTTTGGATTACTTCACTACACATTACCTGAATCTTAAACTTGTGAGTAAAAGCTATATATGTGTGTGTGTGTGTGTGTGTGTGTGTGTGTGTGTGTGTGTGTGTCTGTGTGTGTGTGTGTGTACTTTTTAATCCGTCCTCCTCCTCCTCCTCCTCCTCTCTTCCTCCTCCTCTTCGTATGCGTGTTTCAGGTCCAAACCCCGGACATAAACACAGGTAAATTTATGACGTCACAGTCTGTAAACTTCATGACGTCACAACCCATAAACTTCATGACGTCACAACCCGTGGAAAAATTTACATTATTGTGAGAACTTAATTATTTCTTAATATTATCTTTAGTTGACGTAAAAATGACTCACCACCACCACCACTACCACCAATTCCTATCATCACCATCATTGACACCACCACTACCACTACTAATACCACCACCACTTACCACTACTACCACCACCAGACCACTACCATACTAATACCACCACCACTTCCACCACTACTACCACCAGACCATACTACTATCCAACCATCCACTACAATCACCACCACTTCACCATTCACCACCAGACCCCATCTCAATCATTGACACCACCACTTCCACCACTACTACCACCACCACGACCACTACCACTACTAATACCACTATCACTGCCACTCTCTTTAATAGTGTCTACCACAACTACCACGATTACTGTGACAATCTCCACCACACTTCGTAACTAGAGAGAAGAGAAGAAGAGAAAAGCCTTAAAGATCTTCAAAAGGAGAAGAGAGGAGGAGGAGGAGGAGGAGGAGGAGGAGGAGAAGAGAGGAGGAGGAGGAGGAGGAGGAGGAGGAGGAGGAGGAGGAGGAAGAAGAAAAGGAAAAGGAGGAGGTGAAGGAAGATGCTTACAGTGTTCAATACAGCTGGTGAGTTTGCATTCTTCCCTCCTTCCTCCTTCCCTCCCTCCCTCCCTCCCTCCCTCCTCCCTCTCTCTCTCCTCCTCCTTCCTCCTCCTTCCCTCTCCTCTTCCTCCCTCCTCCTCCTTCCTCCTTCCTCTCCCCTCCTTCCTCCCTCCCTCCTTCCTCCTCTCTCCTTCCTCCTTCCCTCCTTCCTCCTTCCCCTCCTCCTCCTTCCTCCTTCCTCCTTCCTCCTTCCTCCTTCCATCCCTCCCTCCTTCCCTCCTTCCTCCTTCCTCCTTCCATCCCTCC